ATGATATGTTAGAAGTTTCACTTGTATGGCTTCTTGTAATGGATGGAGATTTATAAAAAAAATTATTGAGATTTGAGATCCCGGACTTGTTAAATTCTTCCTTTTCACCATCGGATGTTTCATTTATTACATATTGCTGCTTATTGTTTTTTTTAGATCCATGAATTAATGCTTCATTAATAATATTTGTGATTTCCTCTTTAGTATGCTTTTCAGCAAAATATAGACAAACTTCAAGATGCTTTGCATATGCACGTTTTGTATTTGTGAATTTTTGCTTCTGAACTTCATCAAGTCCCAATACTCGAATACAATCCATACAAATAGCAAAGTTATTCCACCGGTTTGATTTTTCGTCCAAAATCAAAAAATATCCACTAAGCTTATGTTTTTTCGTATTTTACTAATTACTGCAAAGAGTTAGTTTCATAATTATTAAATGTAACAATAAAAAAAATGTAAAGGAATTATTTATTAGTATTTTACCTTTAAGTCTAAGCAGAAAAGGAATTTCACATATTTAGCAACACAAATAGGTTTCTGTAGTCAAAAAAAATAAAAAATATTGTAAAAATTGATAAAAAAAAAACTCGTTTGGAAAAAGATAAAACAAAAAAAAAAAATTTGATTGTATTACCGATACTGTTACATTTTAGAATTTAAGTAATTTATTAAATGATCGACGTTATAATTGACCTGGCTAAATTTAATTAGACGTTCAATTGGACCAAGTCCAATTGGACTATATTCAATTGTTCAATTATCCAAATCGTCCAATTGAATCAATTGGAATGAGTTCAATGCCAACACTGATTATAAGAGAAGATATGATAATAAAGAGTATACTTCAGAAGAATATTATGATAAAAATGAATATAAAGTTTACTTGAACACTAGATCAGGACTTTAACTAAGAAATGCTATTTCTAAAAATAAGAGAACACCTGTAAAATTTCAGAAGCTACTTCAAACTAAAGGTCTGAATCAGTCAAAAATTTTGTATTTGATTAATCAATCGTTCATAAAATTTATAATCAATTTTTATTCAAATTAATCATTGATTAATGATAATTATTTAAATTATCTAGATCATTTGAATAATCAATTAGTTGAAAGAACTAAAATGTTAATATTAATTAAAATAAAATATATATTTTGAACTTATCTTTATTATCAACAATAATAACAGATTATATTGTACTAATTATTCCATTATTTTTTGTTAATCACTATAATCAGATTTCTTTTAAAGGAAATTATATTAATATTTTCATTAAATATAGGTTAAAACTGACCAAAATTCTTTAACCAGTTAATAACCAGTTAAAAATATTCATTAACTAGTTAAAATTAACTTATATCAGTATTATAAATTTGGGTGGAATTGGAAAATATTTTGCAATTATAAAAATCTTAATTCTGGCCAGAAATTGAATTTCAGCTAGAGCTAAATTCATCTATTTTTAACTGGTTAAAAAATCATTTCATCAAATGAATCCTTTAGAATTACTTCTAGTTCTAAGAAATATCATCATTGTAATTTGCATTAACTCATTTTATAAAAAAAAATTTTAATGAAAAAATATGAAAAAAAAGAATTTGAAGTTGAAATGAAATGTCTTTCATTTTTATTTAATCAATTTAGATGTTGCATGCTTATTAAACAATAGATCTAAAATATTTGAATATCTGATTATTCAGTTATCTATTTATAGTTGGTAATAATCGATTAAATGACTAATTACTAGTCAATATTTTTGTCTAATCGATTATCGTAATCAGTTGGTTAAATCTGGATGATTTAACCACAGATTGAACGATTCAGATCTTTACTTCAAACTACAATTGTTAAAGATTTAAAAATGTAAGAACCTATTCCAGAATTAGCATCTGAATTAGTAAGAACTGAAAAAATATTAAAAACCCTTTAATGAAAGTTATTGCCTGCTCTTATACTAGTTAAAATAGTTTAAATCAGCTAAAATCAGATGGCTGATTTTAGGCTAATTTTAACACTATTTATAGCCAATTTGTTATATTTTCTGATCAGCATAAACAGGTACTAATTGATGCTGATTGACCCCAATTAGATATAGCCATTTAGAACTTAAATTCAATCATAAATCAGCCTAAAATTGATCTCAATTTAGCATCATTTAGCATCAATTCAGAATTTAAAATAATTATAAATCAGCCTAAAATTGGCCTTAATTTGGTATCAATTCAGTTAATAAGCATATAAAATTGATATATTATATTTATTAAATTTATTAAATATTAAAATTTTATCAATAATAAAATATAATATAATTTGCAAAACATAACATAAATATTATCAAAACTCATTGATTAATTTCCTATTTAAAAAAATATAAGTAAAAAATGGAAAAACTATGTAAAATAATAAAAATATAATCTATTTTCCTCCTAAAATCTCCTTAAATCATCCTAAATATTCATTATAGTAATACTATTTTAGAAAAAAAAAGAATAAAAAATCAGAAAAATTGACTAAATTCAACTTAATTTTCATTTGATTTTGATGATTAGAGATATGTTTCTATTATAAGTAAAAAAAATCAGAAAAATTGACTAAAATTCAATTTAATTTTCGTATAATTTGATAGATGGAGGCATATTTCTATTATAAAAAGTAAAAAATCACAAAAATTCAACTTAAGTTTTATCTGATTTTGATGGTTAGAGGCATATTTCTATTATAAAAGTAAAAAAAAGTCAGAAAAATTGACTAAAATTCAACTTAAGTTTCATCCAATTTTGATAGTTAAAGTTATGTTTCTATTATAAAAAGTAAAAAAAATCAGAAAAATTGACTAAAATTCAATTTAAGTTTCGTCTGATTTTGATGGTTAGAGGCATATTTCTATTATAAAAAGTAAAAAAAATCACAAAAATTCAACTTAAGTTTTATCTAATTTTGATGGTTGAAAGCATATTTCTATTATAAAAAGTAAAAAAAATCAGAAAAATTGACTAAAATTCAATCTAAGTTTCGTTTGATTTTAATAGTTATAGGTATATTTCTATTATTAAAAGTAAAAAAATCACAAAAAATCAACTTAAGTTTCATCTGATTTTGATGGTTAAAGGTATGTTTCTATTATAAAAAGTAAAAAAAATCAGTTATTTTTGAAAAGTTGACTAAAATACAGCTTTTTCTTCATCTAATTTTGATAGTTAAAAGCGAAAATTGATTAAAATTCAACTTAAAATCTTTTTGTTTTTAGGACAATTTTTGTTTGGCATTTTGGTGAAATGTAAAAAGAGAAAATTTGGAAATGATTAAAATTATTTTTTAAAAAGTTAAAAAATTAAGCTTATTTATATAAATATTCCTATATATCAGAAATAAACTCAATAGTACATTAAATCAATATTATTTTAGCAAATCAGTTAAATCTGAAAGTTCAATTCATTGAAATGATAATACTATCATCCTTAAGAAATGATAAAACTGTTATACTTAAGAATGATAGAATCGTTATATCTAAGAAATGATAAAATCATTATACTTAAAGTATGATAATACCATCATTTCTTAGGAATGATAAAACCATCGTTTCTTAGGTACAATAATACTATTGTCTCTAAGGAATGATAATATCATCATCCCTAAGAAATGATAATACCATTGTCCCTAAGGAACAATAAAACAATCGTCTTTAAGGAATGATAAAATAACCATTTTTTAGATATGATAAAAATCATCATTCTTTAGGTACGATAAAACAATCATTCCTTAGAAATGATAAATGAATCATACTTTAAGAATAATAAAACTATCATTTTTTAGGTACAATAATACTATCAACGATAAAATGACCATTCCTTGGATACGATAATACAATCATCCCTAAGGAATGATAAAACAATCATCTCTAAGAAACGATAAAATCATCATTCCTTAGGTATGATAAAACTATCATACCTAAAAAATGATAATACCATCATTTCTTAGGGATAATAAAATAATTGTTCCTTAGGAACGATAAATCTATCATATCTTAAGAATGATAAAATTATCGTACCTAAGGTATGATAATATTATCATTCCTTAGGTACGATAAAATCATTGTACCTAAGGAACGATAAATGCATCATTCCTTAAGAACTATAAAACTATCATATCTTAAATATGATTATTGTACCTAAGGAACAATACAATTATTCCAATCGGACGTCAATTGGTTATAAATAAGATAGGTTGAATTTTGATATATACCAATCAGCTATAAGTATGCCAATTGGTTATAAATAAGATAAGTCAAATTTTGGCTGATTCTTGGCCAATTTCTGATGTATGCTAATCGGCTAGGCTGATTTTTGATAATTTGTCAAATACAGGCTGATTTTAGGCTGATTTTCGCATGTTTGATTTTTTTTGATTTCGACCAGTGATAATAGAGTTAAAGATTTTCTATTTTCTGAAATTTTAACTTATTAACTTAAAAGATATTTAGCATATTTTGATAAATTTGATGCATATTTAATAAGAGACTATGTTAGCCATTAAATCTTTGACTTTTATTCATGATAATTCCAAATATTTCATTAATTTTTTATTTAATAAAATCAAACTTTGGATAAGCATTCTTATAGTTGGAGGGATTTGTATAACCAAAAAATTTTCAAACAATATTGGTATTTTATATTTTTAATTAAATGTATTAAATCCTCTAATATCAATATACCAAATTGCATTTGCTAAGTCTGTAACAAATTTTTTTCCTATATTTCAGTAACATCTTTTCCAACCCAGCCTTCTCCATTATTGTTAATAAAATTAATTAAATCAATTTTAATTGATCCAATGCATTTCTTGGTATTGGAATAAACTCTGAAAGATAGAGTGTTGTTGATGATTTCATTAATAAATCAAATGCATTTTTCGAAGATCATTTTTCATTAGAATTCAAAAGTTCTAATCTCTACAAAAACACCATATATTTTTGATGCTTCATTTACTTTACATTTTTTCCCACTTTTACTTTATTACTAAATTTCATTTTTCCAAAAATATGCTTCAAAATTAACATTCCACAACTCTGGTTCAAGTGTATCAATAGCAAATGTTGTAAAAAAATCTTCAACAGTTATATTTTCATCTACCAGAGTACCTTCATCAAATAAAATAGAATTTTTGTGTTTTATAATTAGATAGATAATTGGCATTTTAATAGAACTTTATGATAATTAGAATTAAATTTTTATTAAATTTATAAAAATCAAGTTCTTTTATATTTGACGATCATATGTATTGTTTGATCATATGGGAACTTTGCAATAGAAAAGTGGGAAACGGCTGGAAAAAATAAAAAATGAGTTAATGCTAAATCTGAACATATTTTGACCTAAAAATCATATTTGGCTTATAAAAGCAAAATTAAATTTTCCGGCTGTTTCCCTTTTCTATTGCAAAGGTCCCATATGTATTATTCGATCATATGTATTGTCAACATATAAAATTTTCACATGCTATAAAAATAAAAGCCTGGTCACCGGTCATTTTGATGTTACATGAACCGAAAAATTAACTTTGCCCGGCCTAATAAAAAAAAAATTACAAGATCTCTATGCAAACTTCTTTTCAAAGCAATTAACTAATTGAAACACTAATTATTTATCATAACAAAGAGGAGCAAGTCTTCTGATACTGAATTACAATTTAAATTTTTAAGTTTAATTTCAATACTTCAATTAAAAATTTATACATGCAAAATTTAATAAATACAGTATAATAAATTGATTACGAAATGCAAATACAATTTCATTTTATTATTTTATTTATAATTTATTTAATTATTTTTTCGTTAATACAATTGTCGTGTCGTTAAATTTTAATTAGGCGATAGCTTTCCCAGGAAAAAATTGAACATGAGTTAATACTAGTGTTTTAAAAAATTGATTGACGTTTGTTCGATTAAATTGCCGATAGTCATTATTTTTACTTTTATTTTTTTGCTATTATAATTTTAATTTCTTTTCAAAATATTATTTTTGCTTTGAATTCAGTGAATTAGTGCGAATTTTCTAATGGGTTGAATTTGAAGATCCAAATAATAAAATTTAATAGAAATAAATCACAAGTACGGACTTTGCGAAAATATCGGGTACTCTTCGAGTCAAAAAATTCTTGACTCTACTTGACTCGAGTTAATTTTTTTTTGACTCGAGTTCTATGACTAATTGGTATAAAAATTAAGTTTGTGTAGTTAGGAATCAAAATATGAATCGATAAAATCATGTATAATGTAAGATGTCTTTCGAGCAGATAATATTTAACGCGTCGGTAATTCGATAATTTTTTAGTTCATTTTCATATTCAGACCTACAGTATCTCAAGATAAGGTTTTATTTTGAGTTCACAATATTGCACCAACTTGTGTTCCGACAAACGAGTCCATGACTTTTCAGAAAGAAAAGGTAAGTGTCACGTGAAAAAGGAATTCGTGATGAACTATTAAAAAAAAAATATTCGAATCATACTTACACTATGTAAATATTATCTTCACTGATCTCTTCATGTAATCAATTCTCGAAATTCAAAAATCTTGAATCATTCTTTTCGAATTTTCAAACTTCTTTTTCAGTTACGCTGTACATGGAAATAATTTTACTTTCAGGAATAACAATCAATAATGAAAAAAAAATTTTTTACCTTACGAAATATGTTAGACAACAAAAAAAAAAAAAATAATATCATTTTATAAATTTCTAAATGTTCAATAGATTGTTGGTTGATCGATTCATTTTATTAAACTATAATTTCCCAACCTTAATATATTCATGCCCCGATCAAATAGATCTATATTACGTTTTATTAAATTCTAATTAACTCTAATACTACAGCTTACAAGAGACTGTTGTGTTGACAACGTTTAATCTGTGAAAGTTACTTCG